CGTTATTAGAGTAACTTTTTAAAAGTATATTTACGAAGTAATGTACTTTTTGCTTTGTCTTTTTATTTAAATTACAATACTAATTCAATACATAAGCTTGTTTCAGATTTATTAATTTACAGAGAATATTAGTTGTAGAAAATATATATAGATGTATGTACACTGAAGATTTAAAGGGATGGACTATGAATTGAAGAAAGTGACTGATGATATTTCATCCAGTTGTAAGTAATGGTTATATTTTTCAGATTTTATTAATCTTTTTCAGCTTTATTAGATTTGTTTCAGGCATATATTATAGAATCGACAGAAGAAGATTTCCTATGATACAACAGCTTGAGAAATCATGGGAAGAAGATTTTCTATAACATTCACTTCATTCCTTTTTAATTGTACCTATATATTTATGCGAATAAAATAAATAAAAATCATTTTGTAGAGATGTTAGATAGATTGGACTTAATTAGATTATAAGTAGTTTTAAGCTAGGCATTGTGCTGTTGTATTATGGTAGATTTAAATTGGTTACTAGATTGAAGTTTAAGCATGGCAATTTTAAATTGTTAATTTGGATATGTGTTATTTGTCTAAATGCATGTATGGTTAAGGGTAGTTAATATTAATTTTAGTGGGACAAATAAAATTCCACATGATACATTTGGATATGTAACATGTGTTATTTTCTAAATGCATGTATGGTTAAGGGTAGTTAATATTAATTTTAGTGGGATAAATAAAATTCTACATGAGACATGTATTTCTTTAAGCTCTTTAACTATTGTTATGTAGTCGATGTTGTGTCTCATGTAGAGTTATTAATATTGTAATTTCTACTTTCACTGAAATCTAGCTTTCCGTGCCCGTTTTCCTTGCAGCTTCTTTTATTGTATATATCCGGTTTGCACGACGATCAAGGTATTGGACGTTTTGCAAACGTACAATAGAAGAAGTATTTATTCATAAATTCATGTTCATAAATCCATTAGTAAATTTTTGTTCGTGAAAGGAGGGTGGATGGGCCGCGGATAGGGTGGGTCTCCACTCGCAGCACCTCCACGTGGTGAGACCTGGGCAATCAGTATTGTTTGATATATAATTACTAATTGCATTACTAGCTAAATAATTAATTATGCAACTGATACAATTATTAATTATATAGCAAGTAATACGAGCTGATTGGCTGCGATTGTTTGTGTAAATGTATCCATTAGACTAGTAAAAAATAAATAATATAGTAGTTTGGATAATGTAGATGACTAATTTGTTAGTTATCTATATTATTAATATATTAAATATAAATAATGTAGTAGTTTTGACATATAGATAACTAATTTGTTAGTGTATGGAAAACATCTCATCCGGATTTGTACATTTTTCGTTTCCATTGGAATCACAAAAAGTCTGTATGAAGATGGACAAATTCTTTCCAACGAATTGAGATAATTTTTTAAATAATATTGAACTACGTTCAAAATCTGGATGAAAATTAAATGTAGATGTAGTTAAAAGTATCTGTTTCTGAAATACAAATGTTTTGCCTGATCGTATATTGTTGCATTCTACTTGCTCTACTGATGGAGGCCGATTCAAGTAGTAGAAATTAGCATTTGGATATCGCAATCGTAAGAACGATAATTTATCAGCCAAAAATATCAGCTCAATAATTAAATTATATTAGAATAATCGACGAGAAAAAAATTAAGTATGTCAAAATTGAGGAATTAAATTTCGTTTAAAAAGAAATTGAAACGTATTGAACAAAAATTGGATATGTCAGAGTGTTCATTTGCTTTCTAAAGAAAGACAAATATGAACATGGATTGTTCTTGTTATTAGCTTTGGTTATTAGTTGGTGTGATTACACAGGCAGCATTTTCAACCGCAGTCTCTCGTATTTTCATTCGTTTCTGCACGCGCGAAATAATAAATATTTGGCCCTTTCTTCTTTCTCATTACTGGCCAGATGTCAGCTGTCGTTAATTTACGGCCGCGTAATTCCGTCAGATTCGCAGATTTATCGTGCAGCTCGTAAATTCAGCCCTCGGCGATTATACAGTCTTATCCTGCCTCATAATATCAACGAAAGTATTCAAAGTCTGTTTCGCAACTATCGAACAACGCCGCTCTTGTTTCACCTTGCTTTTGTTAAAACAAGAGATTAATCCCCTCGCCGCGGGAAGTATAACGATAAAACTTTGGAAACTTAAGGGAAAGTCTAATTCTCATTCGCCTTTCACAATATTTGATTCGTTACGTCATGAATCACCACCTGTGTACATCGTCGTTTCGTAGTAGCAACGAAAATTTTTTTATTCACACAGAAGTTCCCCTGTAATTCATACACGCAACTCCGCTATCCAACTATCAACAAGTAACGAAGTTTACGTTCTGGTAGAAAAACTTGGAGCTGGCGAACAATGGAAAGTTGGCGTTAGCCAAGGCAGCAGGGAGGGGAGGGGGATTCATTAGAGGAAGATTGAAAAGAATAACGGAAGGTAGAAGGGAAATCGGAACGAATTGGCCCATAAGAAGTGATTTCGTAGGTAGTGAACGGTCGATTCGCGTCGAGGGAGATGGTGATATACGCATTGTCGATACGTCGATCGCGATAAACCTGGACGCCCGATAAATTCGGCAACGATAATTCGCGTGCCCCCTACTTTTATCAGTATTCGATGTCCCTACCCGTAAGCGGATATCGTAAATTCGTAAAGGTAAATCCCGTTTGCGTACGCGCTACCATTTTACCATCGCGTGCTATCGCGTTTAATTATACCGGCGCTTTCCCGTACATCTTCCTCCATTTTTGCGCGATTCACCGGCAGGCCTGGCAGGAAATTTTGGGAATTTATGCGCAAACGGAGGGAGATTTCAGAAATTAGAGATCGTCGAACTACTACGAACGATCAGTGAACAAAAAAAGAAGCTATGAA